CAGGGTGCCCCGTCCGTATCGATAGCACTGTAGTCGGTACCGTAGGCATTCCAGATGTCAGGACTTTTTACTGCAGGCACACAAGCAGTGGCGCGCATAAATGAGAGGAAATACCGGGGTTTTACCCTAGCCATTGTGTGTCATCTCATGATCCAAGTCCTGTATTACTCTTCCTCTTCCTCCATGCTTCTTTGAGACAATAGTTTCCACTGCGAGTGAATGGCACGCTGAACTGTCCTCGCCTTCCAGACGCATTTTTCAAGGATGCTATTCACTGAGGTTGGTGCGGAAAGCGATATTTCATCCTCTCGGCTACCTCCGCATTATATACTACTGTTAGAACAAACAGGAGGCTAACCTCCCCTACTGACCTTCGTGCCTTTCTGGCTGCCGACTGCAACTCTCAGGAGGACGTGATGGCAGTTGATGCGGAAGAGCGACGACACAAAGCTCTGAAGGTGGACCTTAAAAGGGGGGAAAGATGCTAGACTATAATCATAACCCCAATGATTGCTTCATTCATGCCGTCCCCCTAGCTCACCCCATACCCACCCACCCTCTTCCTCACCCTCCGCCTGATTCTACTTTTTGCAAAAAACTTTTCTGTTATTTATTATTAATTCTGAACTTCTAACCTGTTTTTTGGGTAGCGACTGCTTAAGCATAGCTTATTTAAAAAGCGACTTACCATCCCCCTTTGTTGCCCTTAAACCGGAAATCTTTGTCTGGAATAGAGGAAAAGGGGTTAATTTAAGGGAAATTCTTGTAGTAATTAAGATAATTTTCAGCCAGCTTTAAGCTTTAAATGCAATCTAAAATTTGCAGTATTATGGCCTCAAAACATTTATTCTGGCAAAATTTACTTGGTTTAATTTTTGTCTACAAATAGGGGATGTGGGTTTTACATCTATCAAAGCATTGAAGAGGTAACTAACTAAAATATTCTAACTTTAAAAAACTTTTTACAACAACTGGTCACCTATTATATAAATTCGGCTTTGCATGAAATTACAGAATGTCTGCAATGCCGTCGATACAGGAGGGGCACCCT